AACGAGTATATAGCTTCCATGTCTACCTGACTTAAGGTCCACTCCTGGTGTTTTCATTTTAACAAGGAACCCTCAGGATCCCCCAAGATAGCAACTGGATATGTGTTATTCCTGAATGCTTTCTCCTTCCAACTCCTAAATTCCATTCTGACTCCAAGAGAGCTATCTCTGGCTAAAGAAGTCAGTAACATTTTTTTTTTTGAGCATTTGTTTTTTTTACAAATAATAGTGTTGAAATAAAATTGAATCACTAAGGTGTATGGAAATTAAAAAATGAAGGTTCTCCCCACCCTGAATGTCACTGCTAAGAAAGTATCGTTGTCAGCAGTTTCTTGCATATCTTCCAGACTTTTTTCCATGCATTTATGATCACACACACACACACACACACACACACCCCCACCATAAAAACGGTTAAAGATTTTTTTGTTTTTATTTTAGAAAAATAAAATCATACTTAACAGAGTGTTCTGCCACCTGCTTTTCTCAATTAATGTATCTTAGATAAATTTTCATGTTAATATACATGGATTTTCCAATTCTTTTCATGACTACATAGCATCTCATTCTACATATTTTTTTTAAATTACATCAATTGAAACACATTTAGATTTAATACAGTTTTCACTATTATGAACAACACTTCAGTGTCCAACTTTGCACATACCTATCTTTGCACACTGGTGCTAGGATTTCAGTGGAATACAATCCTAAAAAGTAGAATGGCTGATAGGAACCTTCTAAATTTTTACAGATACTGCCAAATTTCTGTGCAAAATTAATGAACCAATTTATAAGTTACCAATTCTTATGAAGGACTGTTTTATCACAAGTAAATTTTTAATTCAGATTTTAAGGAATAAGAATAAATCTTTTCAAATAATAGAAATGTATATATTATCTAAACTTAATCAAATGACTTCTCTCTTTAAGTTCCTATAAGTCTGCCTAAGGAATATTTTTTCCTAAGTAATTGATTATTGTGCTTAGGTTAAACAATTATATGACTTTTTCAATTTGGGAAAAAATACATTAAGAAGAGTGTTGGAAAAGTTTATAACTGATCTACAAGAGTAGGAAAGAAACTTAGCAAATCTAAGTCATCATTTATCATTTCTCAAAGAGAGAAAATATATGATAGTAGTTAATAACTCAGGTTCTAGAGTGACCAATTCAACCATTCATCCAGCGAGTATTTGTTGAGCATCTACTGTGTGCCAGGTTCTGTTCTGGTATCAAGTATGTGGGTGAACAAGACAAAGAAGACCCCTCTGCTCTCATGCAATTTATGTTAGGGTGATGGAGATAAAAATAAATTACTTAACAGAATAATTTCAAAAAGTGATAACCAAATAGACTATCACGACCAATCTCTGGGGAGGAGGGCCAGGGTGCCTGTGGCTAAGGGTCTCAGAGGAGGGGACGCATGGGATGATTCCTAAAGAATAAGAATGAGCTAGCCAGGGGAAGTTCTGGGGCAGAGAAAGGGCAAAATTCCTAATGTGGGAAGAAGCCTGGCCTGGTCAGGGAATGGAAAGACCAGTGGGCTAAACTGTGGCACACAATGTTACAGGAGCGGATTGGGTAAGGCAATCAGGTAGGGCTTTTAGGCCATTAGGAGACATAGGCTTTCTATTCCAGGCCATTAGAACTGTCATAAGCATGAGAGGGGCATACTCTACTTTATATTTTAAAAGACCATTCTGGCTAATATACCCTCACCACGTATTAACTGTATGTCCTTGGATAAGCTACATTACCTTCCTTAGCTTCCATTTCCTCATTTGTAAAGTTAAGATAATAACAATATGTATTACATGTATTAATATGAGGATGAAATGAGGTAATGAATGGAAAGCATTTTGCACACTGCCTAGCACATAATAACTGTTCACTAAATGTTTTTAACTAAATCACTTTTACATCATTAAGATCATATTGAATAGAAGTGAGCATAATTCACTATCCCCAATTACGTAGCATAATAACTAAAAATATCCTTTAAAATTACTCTTGATTCAAATTCTCTAATACTGAGAGGCCAGATTTGTCCATATTGAATCAACATGGCACTTTTATCTGATCCTATAATACAGCCCTGAGCTATTTAAGTGTATGCGCACACTCCTTACTCTCACACACACTAGATTATCCATCTTTGTGTTGCCCCCAGAGCCCAAAACACTCAATACATCATCTATAAGGTAGGCAAGCAGGTAGGTAGATAAGTGGATGAATGAGCTAACAGATACACAGAGGATAAAAATCATGGGGGCAAGAGAAGAGTGTTTCAAACTGAAACACTTAGAAGAGTAAAGTTTTTATGAGTATATAAAATGTATAACTGATCATATCTTGCCAAGTTTATTATTCTATCCATGTACTCACAGAGTATTGGACACCATGTTGAAATTCTATAAGAAGACACTGCTCTAGGGCGCCTGGGTGGCTCAGATGGTTAAGACACTGCTCTATTGTAAGGATTACTGCCTTCCAATCTTCTTCATCTCTACTGAAAATATTTAGCAACACTCTGAGAAACAGGAAAGAAGTACTTCTGATAATAACCAAAGGAATGAAGAATTATGAACAACAGAACCAAAATTGTGAAACCCACTGTGTGTCTCATTTAGTCAGGTCTCTCTGTGATGTGACCTAGGACATCAGGAAAGTTTATATAGGTAGAATTCCAATGTCTAGGCTTTGAAACAAAGATCCACAATAGTTGTGGAAGCATTTTTTCAGTAATTTTGTATCTAAATATGTGAACTGTTTCTACACACTTGAGAGCAGGTAATGGATGAAAAGTGACCCTATACCCAAATACCCAGCACAGAGAAGTTTGAGAAGTTACTGACTTAATAAAATAAAATTAGTGAAAGAACAACTAGGAGCAGAAAATAATACCCTTTAATGGAGACTGTTCTGTGATATAAAAAGTACTTTTCTCTGCGTTGTCTTATTTTGATCTTTACAACAACTCTCTAAGAAAGCACAGAAGAGTGTCAATAATAAAGATTTAAAAGAGAAAGAAAGAGGGCGCCTGGGTGGCTCAGTTGGTTAAGCGACTGCCTTCGGCTCAGGTCATGATCCTGGAGTCCCGGGATCGAGTCCCACGTCGGGCTCCCTGCTCAGCGGGGAGTCTGCTTCTCCCTCTGACCCTCCCCCCTCATGCGCTCTCTCTCTCTCATTCTCTCTCTCTCAAATAAATAAATAAAATCTTTAAAAAAAAAAAAAAAAAAAGTTAAAAAAAAAAAAAAAAGAGAAAGAAAGAAAACATGGCCAATTATGTCTGCGGTTTACACACATAAAAGCCGACACACTGAGCAGATGATTTGCCCCACGTCTCTCAATCAGTAAGTGGCACGGCTGTAATTCTAACCGAGGCCTTCTTAGTGTACTTTCTGCCACCCCCCACTAATTCAGCATGCCACAAATAGTGCCATTCGTTAAAACAGAAGGTATTTCTATTTAAAAAGGGACAGAGGAGTGAACTGTATACAAGTTGTAAGTAGCATTATTATCACTTCTCCTTGAATACTATAAATCCTTTCAAGCAGGACAATTATCCCTATTTGTAAGCATCATTCCTCACTAATCATTAAAATACTACATATTCCCTAGCTCCAAATAATAACAATAGTAGCAGTAACAAATAATAGCGATGACAGAGCTTTCATCTCTTGAATACATACGCACCAGACTCTGTCCTGCATTCTCCACATTCACTGACTTCATTCTCACAACAACCTTATGAGGCAGATATTGTTATCACCATCATCATTGTCATCATTACAGAAATGGACAAAACCGAGGCATAAAGAGGTTAAGTATCTTGTCCATGACCATTTGGCTAGTAAATTGGTTCAGTGACTCTTAACTGCAACATGCTTATGTTTATGCTACCTCTTCAAATAGAAGCCTCTTTATCCCAGTCCTCTCCTCTTTCAGATTTAACCAATGATAAAGGAAGAATCTCGAATTTAGATTAACATTTTAAACCCTTTCCATGCATTTCTAAACAATACCAATTTTGCTGACCAATCACTACACTTCATCTTCAAAGTGCCTAACTGAGAACCTGGCACAGCATACGCAGGTGACAATTACTGAGAGTCCACTCTGTGTCTGGTGTCATGCTAAGTGCTTTTCCCTACATAAGCACTCTATAAATGTTAACACTGTTCTTTCTTTCTTCTAACGAATAGACTCCATTAGGAGATCTATCTGGATCTTTGAAAATTAAGCTGGGCAATGAACAAAATTTCTTTTCATGGAAGCAAAGCAAAAGCTTTTCATGTGGGTTCCAAGGGACTACTATTGCTCTGACTCTTGATGACACCCAGATGCACACAAGAAAGTATGGAAGAAAAGTATCAATGAGAAGACGGAGGTCATAAGCTGGACTCCTCATCTACAGAGGTATTTCCTCTCCAGAAACAAGTAAACTTAAAGCACAAATAAATTAGAAGTTTATCTATCTATCTATCTATATATACACACACACACAATTTTCCAAATTAACTCTGCAAAGTATAAATAAGTTCTCTCCCTGAGTCCCTTTAAATATTATGTTTCTTTAACCAGAGTTTAAATAAAAAGTTGAAACAAACAAAATACATAAATAAATATTATATTTTCTCGACATTTTTAAAGAAAAAAATAATTTATTAAAAAAAAGCTATATTCAAGTATAACTTTGCAGAAATCCACATACTATGCAAAACAAAGTACACCAGCCTCCCTTACTAAAATGACAACTAAGGCAGAGATCTGGGTTTCATTGTACATTTCAGAACCAACAAGAATGATATCGATTTTCAGATTATCTGCTCTTTTATATTACTCATACCTCCTTTCTCCTCTATTAGTGAACAGAGCTAAACTGTCTGCATTTGCTTGATTCCACTGGGAGGCCTGAATCACCACTTGGAAATATCAATCATTCCTTTAAGATTAGTCTCTACTAAAAGCCTACAGTGAAATGATAATGCACTAACCTGTCTCCAGTTAATGGCAAAATAATGGTTGCTTGAGTAGAAAACACAATGAAAGATAATCTCATTTGAGGGCTGCAATATAAGAAAAGAGGCAGTTAAACATTTTTAAAAGAAATATTGATACAATACAGATACATAGCTATGGAGTCTCAGTTAAAATCAGACTCTGATGGTCCAGGCTTCTTTTAAATGGAACTCCCTACATAGATACACTAACTCTGCTTAACATTACTGCATAAGCCATCTTGGATTTAGTCAGTGCTTCTCAGCACTCAATCCTCCATGACCCACAAGGCCATTTAGGGAAGAGACTACCTAGAAAGATGAATTCTAGGCCAATGTAAAATCCTTTCGTAGAAAATACTTCTCCCTTTACCTATTTTCCCTGTTCTACCTCATCTCCTTAAAGGAGGCCAGACCCTTCTGAGCAATTGTCATTAGCAATATTTTGGGCTGGAGAGCAGTCAGTTTGATTTAATTACCACAATTATGAGACAAAAGTGATCCGGAAGTAAGAGTATCATGGACAATGTGAAAGAGACTAACAAATCCGTTTTGATTAGACATTTCCAATTGTCCTAATCTCAAACATCATACTTCCCACTGGCAACAACTGCCCCAGTCGGCTACATCTTTTGAGCCTTAGGCATTTATCTCACAGAATGGTTCTTGTCTCCAAGACACTCTACACAACTACGACTAAGATCTGAAACTGAAGACAGGAAACTAAGATCTATAAACTGAAGATCAGAATGATCTCAAAGGTTTATCCATATTTGAAGATATTCTCTCCAGTAGTCAGCCTTTATTCGCTTTCTACAATGTATTATGAGTTAGTAACTAAGCAACTAAATTTGAGCCAGAGAACTGTGTTATCAGAGAATTCCAACTTGCAAACCAGACCAAATCAATAAAAGCCCCACTTCTTCAAAATGGTGTATTGAAATGATCTACTACTTTCGATCAAAATCTATGTGATGCTCTCTGCACACTCTCGGATTAAATCAGAAAATTTATAAACAACTGTCCCTACTGCATTTAACATTTAAAGATAGAGGGACTTATTTATTTTTCTTTCCTAAACAGTTTTACTTCAGACCTTGTCCAGAAATGAGTGTTATACTTGGCTTCTTAAGCAGGAGACTGATGATTGAACATGGACAAGCATACATTTTTATAGGGATAAGTTTACTGCTGCCAATAACTGAAAGCAAGGATTGCCTAGGCCTCTACAGATTGTTTGAAGTTACTTGCAACATGACTTTCAAAATGTTTTGATCATACAAGCCTGTTTTACAGAAAACATTTGGGCTAACAAGACTGAAAGAAGCAATATTTAATGATACAGCTCCTTTTTGTGTCCTTTCCATTATCTTGATAAACTTGCATTTGCTCATTGCATTTTTTTCTTTAAAAAAAAAAAAAAGAAGAAGAAGAAGAAGAAGAAAAAAAGGCTCAAAAGCCTGGTGTTCTGGGGTTATTTTTAAATAGAGATGCCACTAATTCCTAGTTACCTCTAAATAAGAGAGTAAGCTGGATTTCACAGCAGTTATGCTTTTTATAGGAGAAAAAACCAGTCTTTCCTAGTAAGGCTTATTGCATATATAGAACAGTTAAATTTTAAACCAGCCACACACCCACACATTGGGTAAACACAAGTCGTCTCTTTAAACACACACAAGTGCCTTTTCTGGTAGTGGGTTATTAACACATGTTCATTGGAAGTTTACCAACACTTTTTTTTTTAAATGAGGACCTCTACAATGCTAAGAATTGTGTGGAAAGAAAAATACATTATGGATACTATTAGCATAAAATTTGTTTTATGTGATAAATTATGAGAAAGCGCAACTAAAATTCGAAACAGATGAAAAATCAGAAAGGAAAAGACATTTGTAATAGTATTTGAAGATGCTTCCCAAGGGCCTGAGCCAAGTTTCTGGGATCCAGATGAAATAAGCCCTGAACAACTGAAGGGCTGTCCTAATAACTACATGTGTGTAATAATGGTCTTGAGGCACTTAAAAATCAACATTTCATGAGAGGCTTTCCCTGCGAAAGGTTTCAAAAAAGGAATATCTTACACTTCAGTCTACTTCCCTCCACCTCAAACTCCCCTGCCTGTAAAAGTAAAGTAGGAAAAATACCTCACAAATCTCTCGGTAAGTTGCTGGACAAAATTGTAAATTTCAATCCAATTATTTGCCACACTCCCAGACCTGTAAAATGAAATTGAACTGATGAGAAACAAACAAACCAAAAACAAAACATTTACGTGGGGGGTAACCCGGCCTCTACTTCAAGCAAAGTAATAGTATCGGCAGCTGAAACTTAGGCACTAAAAGAATCAGGGAAGCCAACCCATCTTCAGGGACCACCTGCCCAATTGTTTGGAGTAGGATCCCGCCTCTTCAAAATAAACACAACCCTCCTTCACAGGAAATGCAAACCACCTTGAGTACTTTGACCCTGGGGTTTTCCTGGCTACAACGAAAGCGCTGTGATCTGGATCAGACCCGGCAAACTTTAGCCAGTTGAGGGGGTGAAGCCAGAGGGGGCGAAGCCAGAGGGGGCCGAGAAACAGGGATGCAGACAGCTACTCCAAACAGACACTCTCCCATTTCCCAAGAGGCCCCAGGGCTGGCAAACAGTGACCACCCCACCTCCCAGAGAGCCCAGCAGCTCGGGGCTCCTCCGATCACCACCCAGCCAGCACAGATAAGAAAGCGCTTGCCCTTCGGACGGGCATAGCACAAAGCACCCGTCGTCGGCTTTCTAGCACCCCTCCCCAGGGCGCACACGCATCTCCGTCTCCCCAGCCACAGCTCATCCAATGCCACCCACCAGAAGACCCTGGACCTCCCTCCGGCACTCACTTGTCCAGGACGAAGTAGAGATCAAAGGCTCCTCTGCAGGAGGGCTGCTCCTGGGCGCTCACCGGCCCCCCAGGACCGCTGAGCACCAGCAGCCACAGCCCGGGGACCAGCCAGCTCCCGGGACTGCGGGCCCGAGAGAGCCCCGCCACCATCCTGCGGCCAGGGGCCTGCGGCTGCCTCCTGCTCGCAGCCCCCTCGGCTCGACTCAGTGGGGACGCTAAAGTGGTAGGAGTTACCAGGGACGCACCCCGGGGTAGGGAACAGCGAGCTGATGAGGGGGGCCGGCGCCCGGGGCAGCAGGACCCACTAACTGACAGAGAGAGGGAAAAAGGAAGGGAGGGAGGTCCTAGGAGGACAAAGGGAGACACCGCAACCGCCGCAGCTGCCGCCGGAACTCTTGACGAATCCCAGTGGAAGAGCGATCCAGTCCTCCCCCTCCGGATTCCGGAGAGTTCCTGCAGACAATGAGGGCCCACGGCGACAGCGCTCAAGAGAAGTTCCCCCTCGGCTTCTGGCCGAGCCTCTAGCACCGGCCGCGGAACCGGAGCGGCAGTCCCATTCCGCCCGGAGCGCTGAAGTCCCGCGGCTGCAGTGCGCGGCGGGGCAGGCGCCCCCGGGACGCGAGGACGGCCGCACAAACTTGGAGTGAAGATCCCCGTCCGCCGGTTCCCTTATCCCGCGGCCCACAACTCGCCTCGGCACTCCAAACTTTCTTCCTAGGGCTCCGCTCTGGCGCAGTGCAGCCGGGCGGTCCCCTTTAGGGGTGGAGGCTGAGCGGGCCCTGGGGTTAGTGGCTCCAGAGAAGCCGCTTCAGTCAAGGCCAAGAGCAAGATCTGGCCAGGTCTCTCTGTGTGTCAGTGTGCGTCTGAGGGCGGGGCCTGATCTGAAGCCGCACACGCACACTTGTGGGTTCGTGCGGAGTGGAACAAGACTAACGCTTGCCAGATTTCTGAAGGGGAAAAGGAGTTTAGAACAACAAATGTCCTCTAAAACTAAACAGACCCGTGTAGCCTGCAGGCCTGGCCTATTTCAGCCGCTGTGTGGAAAGGCACTCTGTGGCTGAGACCGGGACTAGCAATTCCCAGGGAGGCGGTGGCCTCCCCACTCCGCCCCACCCCCACTACCGCGGCGCTCGCGCCGCTGTACTTGCCTCGGGGCTACCTAAGTAAGGCGACTTCCTCTTTGTTTAAACCTACTTTGAAGCTTCGTCTCACAGAGCCAAAACGGGGCGGGGGAGGGGAAGGGTGGAGTCCTGACCCTTGGCAGAACTCTTTAGGACTGGAAAGTTGTACCTCAAAATATTCCATCCAACTGTCATCTACCCCAAATTCCAGATAATTAAAAATTTCATCTTGCAACAAGCTAGGCCGTCCTTGCCAAACTTGTGCTGGAGTTGGAGTTTGAGTTCATTCACATTCTCTGCTTACTCATTCTGCGTGCGTTCTGCCTCTCTCCTGCCCATCACCTCCACCTGTGACTTCGGCCTTCCCCCTGTTGAAACTGGCTTTCAGAACTTGCAGTCTCACTGACGGGAATATGATGTGTCCCCTCCTCCTTTATATTTTATCTAAGTCGATGCTTTATGAGAAAAAGTTCATATAGTGCTGAATCACATATTGCCTTTTAGCATCTCTTCTGTTTGTTGTCATGTGTATTGAACTTTTCATTTACATTATCTTCCGTGTACAACCAAATTTGTAAGCTCTTTGGGAATAGAAACCAGTCACTTTAACAAAGATTTACTGAGTACCAATTATCTATTAGGCACTGTTCAGAACAAGATGACAAGCCCCGGCTTTCATGAAGCTTGCAGTCTGGTTGAGGAGGAAAACCAGACCAAGATAAATAAGTAAATATCCATATTAGCAGGTGGTTTGCAAAGAGTTAAAATATGGTAATATGATAGAGAATGACTGACTAGGTGACTAACAAAAGGCAACCAGCTATTCCAAGAACCAAAAGAGGAAACGTTCCTAGCTTTTGCAGTTCACCATAGGGATTGGCTTAGCACATTTAAGAAAAAGGAAAGAAAAGCAGAATGACTAGAACTTTGTGGGTAAGATGAAGTAAGAAAGGCAGGCAGGGGCCAGATTATGTGGTGCTTTGTAGACTGTGACAAACAATTCGGATATTTTATATTAAGTGTGATGGGAGTCCATTAGAGGGTTTTAACCCATGCAGTGGGATAGAGGATAAAGTATTATGATCTCTGCTTTTCAAAGATCATTCTAGCTGATATGACACAATGGATTTGGAAGCAGCAAGAATGAAAGCAAGGAGACCAGTCAGGAAGCTATTATAATATCGGGGCACAATAAAATGGTACCTTGGACCATCACCCCTATAGCAGCTAAACTGAGGGATATGAATGGATGAAAGCTTTAATAAACTCAGACCCCCAGTTTGGAAATATCTGCCACTTGGTGACGGAAATTCCAGTACCATCCGCCTCTTACCTGATGGGGTAGAGAGGGTACTGATAGGACAAGTGGTTGGCTGACAGAATGGAAGATAACATACTTTTGTTAGAAATTTCAAATAATTGAGCTCTAGAAGAAAGTCTAAGGAAAGGGATGAATATATTCAAAGCATCCTAAATCTGTCCTCTTTGGCTTCATCTTTTCTTGAGGTTCCGAAATTTTAATTCCTCTGTAGCCATTGGTTCTCCGGGGATGTGCTATACCTCCTCTTCTTTCACATTTGGGCCCCACTGTGGACACACTAATCACTTTGCCTTCCCACAACAAAGCTGAAACAGGCTGACGTCTTCAGCAAACTTGTATCAGCAGCCTGTTAAAGTTTCTTGTCAAGGTTTTTATTATTTACTGTTGGTTAAAACTGGTCTCCATTTTCAACTTTACTTTTAATCAAGACAAATCAAGGATACAATATACCTTAGCAATTAATACCATATCAGTACATGACTGAATAAAATCTGGGGGGAAATCTGTCAGAAAGTAGTAACAACTAGTTTAAAAGGGGGACAGAAGATGAAGAAATATGAGGCAGGAGGCTCACCACGTACTCTAGTCTCATGATGAAGTATTCTAATTTCACATTTATTGGCTTTCTTTTCTCCTAGCTTCTTTTTGTTGTTGTTGTTTCAAGTATTTATTTAAATTCTAGTTAATTAACATATAGTGTAATATAGGTTTCAGGAGTAGAATTTAGTGATTCATCACTTACATATAACACCCAGTGCTCATCACAAGTGCCCTCCTTAATGCCCACCGCATTTAGCCCGTCCCCCACCCACCTCCCTCCATCAACCCCCAGTTTGTTCTCTGTAGTTAAGAGTCTCTTATGGTTTGCCTCACTCTCTTTTTTCTCTCCCCCTTCCCCTATATTAATCTGTTTTGTTTCCTAAATTCCAAATATGAGTGAAATCATATGGTATTTGTCTTTCTCTGACTGACTTATTTCTCTTAGTATAATATACCCTTGTTCCATCCATGTCCTTGCAAACGGCAAGATTTCATTCTTTTTGATGGCTGAGTAATATTCCATTCCATATATATTCCATATATACACACACACACACACCACATCTTCTTTATCCATTCATCAGTCGATAGACATTTGGGCCCCATTCCACAATTTGGCTACTTTTGATAATGCTGCTATAAACATCAGGATGCATGTGCCCCTTCGAATCAGTATTTTTGTATCCTTCGGGTAAATACCTAGTAGTGCAATTGCTGGGTTGTAGGATAGTTCTATTTTTAACTTTTTGAGGAACCTCCATACTGTTTTCCCAAGTGGGTGCACCAGTTTGCATTCCCACCTCCCTTGGCTTCTTGATTCATTGTCTGCTCATCTTCTCAGACCCTACAAACTGATCCAAGAACCCATCATGTCCTACACCTAAACTGAGGAAAATATCTTGAACTTAAAACTTGTTCTACCTCAAAATTCCCAGGCCCTCCTGGTGTCTTCCTACTCAGTTCTTCCGTCCTGACTACAAGACCAGCTGAGCTGATTGACACACTAAAGCACATTACATTCTTTTGTTTATTTGTTTGTCTGGGTAACTAATTGAGCCCATTTCTGGAAATTTGCTCATGGAAGATCTATTATGAAGCAGGGAAGTGGCCTCACCTTGCAGAGACAAATAATTAATCAAATCTCTTTTACCTAGCAAAAATTAGGGGAAGGTCATTAATTATGGAGGCAACCAACTGTCCAGATTTGCCCCAGACTGAGGGGTATCCACGGAGACAGGGCTTTCAGCTAACAGGAACTGCTAAAACTGGAGCAGTCCCTGGGATGGTCCATGGCGAAGGAGGCTGTTGGCCATCCTATTCCCAAGTAATAGTGAGGGACAGGGAAAGCAAGAGCAGGTTTGGGAATTTCACCAAGGCATAAGAAGGAACAGTGTTGACAGTACCCCTTTCTGTTCCCCTGTCTCAGGTGAGAGGCCTTGGGCATTGTGTCAACTGAACACTAGCCAGGTAAGGTTTCAAACTGACTTTTGCACCTCAGTAGACATGCTGGAACCCTGTGTAACTTTCACTTGTAAATCAAGAATGGGGTAGGGAATGCAGATGTCTGAGCAGAGAGAGAGAAGTTAGAGTGAATTAGAGAAACAAATCTAAAGTGCTTTTCTTTTACCAAATCATCTGGACTTCTGCTGAAGTATTTTGCTTCACAATACATGCAAGCCTCTATTCTTTGAAAATGACTCTTTGTACCAAACCAAACTTCTAATTCAATATTAGAATTGATCACTGTTACATAAAATATGCTAATAAATCCAAAAACATTTTAAACTCCGTTTCATGCAGTTCGAATTGCTTGAAATTGACACCTGATAACTAAAAGTGTTCACTATCATTGTCTACCTCTTTTACCTGCAGAGCTCCTATGGAAGTCATGTTAGATTTTATTTATTTATTTTCTAATTTTTTTTTAATTTACTGACTTTCATTTAACTAATGTTTCTTGATACCTACTATGTATCTATTGCTGTTCTAAGCACAAATCTTATTCCCTGCTCTCAGGAGTTCACTTTTCCAATATCCTATCACCAAGTTACTTCTAACTCCCCCCTCCCCCACAAACAACTAACAGAAGGGGCACAAAGGCGACAACAATAAACAGAAAAATAAAATAAACATATCCTTTATGTGTTAAAAATCACATTATCTATATTGTTTTCAGTAAATATCTTTGTATGACATCCACAATGACAAATATGACTCTCCTGGAAGTTAAATACCACACTGGAAGTGATTCATATCCACATTACATGTGGAGTGATTCATTATATGATATCTAGAGTGATTCAGAGGAAGAAAATAAATCTTCATACCAATAGGTGACAAAGCTTATTTAACTTGTATTGAGTACAGTCATTACAGTAGATTTCCCCAGTACCTGAAATAGTTCCTGAGAGTGGAGTAACCGCTTTTGGGAAGTGTGATTGCTACTAAATTAACATCTCTATGCATGACAACAGGGTCTGCATTTGGGATTAAATGTGTTTTAAATCCAGTTTCCCAGAAGCAGACCTGAGACTCTGAGATTCGCATGCAGGAGGTATACTGGAGCATGCTCCCTCAGAAGCAAAACCTGGAGGGCAACGGAAGCAGGTAGGAATGGTCAGAGGGAAAGCTGAACCATGGCACAGTTGCAAAGGAAGCCTCAGCCAACCCCAAAAGTAGCTCTGGAGCTGGGATGGTCCTTTCCAGTGGTCCTGAATTGAGTGAGGCAACGGGGCCAGTGTTTTGTGTCCCCTCAGGGACCAGTCATTAAATGTGGCCTGCCCCTATAGAGGAAGCATACCCTTGGGCAAAGCAGCTTCCTTTGGCTGAGGGCAATTAGAAGAAAGAACTGGGCTAGGAGCCGTCAGCAGCCCAGCTCCTGGCTGTGGGGAACGAGGGCCTCAGTCCCCGAGGAGGAATCCAGGTGTTGCAGCCACAGCATCCAGAACATCCACAAAAAGCCAAGCTACCTGGCAGCTGGGTTGATAAAAGTCTTATCTCATGTGCAATGTCAGACCTTCACAAACTAGGTCAGGCTCAGACCGG